CTTTGCGATTTTGGTGAAACTCTGTTCAGCGCAAGGCACTAATGCGCACTATGTGTAGCCGAGAGATTTTCGCGAAAAAATGCTGGCAACAGCAGATTTTCGACTCAGACCTCAAAGGGGCGTGGCATTATAACCACGTGACATTTACTCCGATCGCCAAAAATTTTATGTTATATTGTAGATTGATCTATATGTTATCCATTCTACGTGTTAGACTTACGATAAAAGTAAAGGTGGGGATACCAGAGAGCTTCAAAGTAGGATGGTACCCCCCCAAAAAAACTGGGTCGAGTCACCTTAAAGCAATTACAGAAGATGAAACTTACAGCATTGATGTGAACCCGGTTTCGAGAGTTTCCCTACATTAAAACTTTAGAACTCGCGAATTTGTGGAGGTCCTATTTCTTAAGCGATATGGCTTTAATATCTCTTTATATCAAGCGCCGTATCAAAGGTGGGGCGTTAATTTGTAAATACCCAAATTAGCGTCGCGGCGCTTATTAAATTACTTTCGGTAAAGGCGCGGCGCTTATTCGAGAGTGGCTCTTATTTGAGTAGCGGCGCTTAATCGATCATTTATGGTACTCTTATGTTACCCTTATGTACTCGTGTGGTGTTTTAGTCAAGATCCACCGTGTCAACCCATAACTAAGGGGCTCAATGGTGTGGTGGCTTTTACAGTTATCGGCTAAAATTTTGGCTTTTTTACGGCTATCGGTTGACTTTTTTCGGTTACGGTTAACAAAAAAGTTAAAAATTAATTTCTTTTGTTTCAAACAGTTAAATATTAATTAACCTGCATTTTTTGTATCATCCCGATTCTAAAAATAACTCGAGACGAATTACCTATGGAACAGGGTGTGTATGGGGGATGCCTTCTCTGTCCCCTTTATCCTCTCTTGATCAAACGGATAACCCGTCTGACACGAATAATCCGTCTCTAGTGTGAAAACGGCCATTTCTGTTTTAAATGAATGTCGCGCCTCGGCCTTGAGTTGGGCGTTCGCGTGTCTGCTTTTGCTTTTATACAAAGATTATTTTTAAATTGACTATTTAAAACATTTTTATGTGTAAATTATTTCATGAATCACACATTTTCTTTTGTTATTCAACATCCTTTATTTAACTTACTTACTTCATGAATATTTAACTAACTGAAAGTCCGGGGAGGGCTTGATAATGTAGCAAGGAAGAGCGGGGCTGATGAATTGAATAAATTGTTAATTATGAATGCAAGGACAATATCTATATAAATACCCGGTATTTATCTGTGTATTGCCCTGCTGCCCTGGGCAATATACAAATAAATCCCCTCCATTTAAAATTAATTAATAATTAATTCCTAGCAATTAAAGTAAATCATACACGTCCTTTGACCCCGCCAAACATTCTGAGAAAATTTCTCCCTTTAACACAAATATAGCAATTTATTCTGCAACTATAGAAAATACAGTAGTATCCCATATATCATACAGGCTATGTGTTCACTCTAAGAAAATTTTAAGTCTTTGGATATTACAAACGAGCAATTCTGGAACACAAAACTGTTTGATCCTTTCACAGTCGCGTTGTTGTTATCTGGGCAAAATCTTTTTACTTCGTTATCAACTAACTGATCTACTTCTCTTTTTAACGAGGACTCGGCTTCCCTTTCTCCTACGGATCCTTCGGATCGACAATTTAATGCTTTAGAAATCTCAATTTTGGTAGAGACATCGGGCCTCTGATACCTTTGTAAAGATCTGATATCTCGGTGGCCCATACGCTCCATAATCAACTGATCTGAGATTCCTTTTTCCAGTCCACGTGTTGCTGTTGTGGCCCTCAGACTGTGATTGCTGAATTGGCCCTGTAGGTCTGCGTCTTTACACATTTTGCTAACAAAGTTTCTAAGCTTGTTATGTCCAACAGGAGTCGATGTAAACCAAACTGCAAAAATTAACAGTGAAAATAAAAATATGAAACAAAACTGAAACTTCTAATTACCGTCCCCGGCTTTCTTTTCGACTTCAACACTATCTCGTTCGCTTGCTTCTCTAAAGTCTCCCACTAACTCTTCCAAATTCAACTCAGGGGAAAAAGGCTCCTGAGAGAAAGTATTTTGCGTTAGGAAAATTTCGTCGTCACTATCCATTACCGCTCNGGCAAAATCTTTTTACTTCGTTATCAACTAACTGATCTACTTCTCTTTTTAACGAGGACTCGGCTTCCCTTTCTCCTACGGATCCTTCGGATCGACAATTTAATGCTTTAGAAATCTCAATTTTGGTAGAGACATCGGGCCTCTGATACCTTTGTAAAGATCTGATATCTCGGTGGCCCATACGCTCCATAATCAACTGATCTGAGATTCCTTTTTCCAGTCCACGTGTTGCTGTTGTGGCCCTCAGACTGTGATTGCTGAATTGGCCCTGTAGGTCTGCGTCTTTACACATTTTGCTAACAAAGTTTCTAAGCTTGTTATGTCCAACAGGAGTCGATGTAAACCAAACTGCAAAAATTAACAGTGAAAATAAAAATATGAAACAAAACTGAAACTTCTAATTACCGTCCCCGGCTTTCTTTTCGACTTCAACACTATCTCGTTCGCTTGCTTCTCTAAAGTCTCCCACTAACTCTTCCAAATTCAACTCAGGGGAAAAAGGCTCCTGAGAGAAAGTATTTTGCGTTAGGAAAATTTCGTCGTCACTATCCATTACCGCTCTCACAAGTGTACTGGCCCCCCAAAAAATACCAAGACAAAAAAAACACAAAAGGTTTGAAATTTGGTTGTTGTCGGCTTAGCAAACAAACAATGCGCTATTGTTCTCCGTTTCTCACCTAAGTGAGAACAAGTGGTTTGAACAAATTATGACCCGTGAAACACCCTGTCCGTAGGCCTCATTATTCCGCGCGGCTAATGCGTTTCGTGTCACGTGGTTTGAGCGAGTTTTTTTCCTCAGATACGCCACCGAAATGCCTTGACCGAGATTGTGTGGGAAAAGGCTGAACAGGGACCAGGCATGGCAATGTCTACCGTAGCATCAGAGAAAAAGAGGGAATTGTTGTTTATCGGCAACGTGTTTTACAAACAGTGACATCTCTGGCTGTTGTTTCACTAGTATTTCGAGGGCACGACCTCCTGGAAATCGCAAATTTTAATCCCCAGCAAGAAGCCAAATTTTTGCTATGGAAAGAATTAGTTCCCCGAGAGAGCGGCGGAACTGGAGCCAAGGTCTAGATCAACACCTAAAAGGCTCTTGGCCTAACGTGCGTACGGAGTTAAAGTAGCCAGAAAATAAAAAACGCAACCATAAGTTGAGTCTAGCACCTTCCTTAAAATTAACAAATCTAGCTAAGGGAACAATTTCTTTTACGGTTAACTCTTTTTTACCCCATTTACGGCTGACGGTTAAAATTTTTCAATTTTTACGGCTATCGACTAAATTTTTGGCCGTTTAACGCCTATCGATTAACCCCATTGAGACCCTCATAGCTTGACAAATGCCCGACAAATGCCTGGGGACAAATGGACACGCTTAAGCCAAATGTGGCATGTATCCCCCGAAAAGGACTGCTACGCACGCTAAATCACCTGATAGGTCAGATGTAAGTCTTAGAATGATAATAGGTAATAGAATCCTACCTATTTCCATGCGGAACAAGAGTAAAAACTGTTTATGCGGAATGTAATAGACATAGACAAAGTGATTCAGAGATAGCGACACTATTCGTTGCTAAAAGTGTGTTTTCTTATTGCAGGTAAGGAGTCAGTCCTTTCGGTTATTCTTATTGTGAATAGTTTCAAGCGCTCGCTCTCTGATGGCACAAAATTTATGAAACTGATACGAGGTTGCTTAAGAGAAAAGTTGGCTCTCATTCCAGAAACGAAGTTGGTGATAACCGACAGTTTTTCGAGTGCGATGGAAAAGGAAGAAATTCCCCGCGAAACTCTTCAACTGTATTTACCAAAGAGGATTGTTGCAGCCACATTGCTGGAGCTTCTGAACAAGCGCTGGCAGACAATGGATCTCATCTCAGTGATGCTGGAATTGAAACGGACTTTTTTTACGGGTGAGACAAAAATTCATGAAGAGGAAGACTTGAACTTCTTGTTTTTCGCCAATGCGGGTTATTCACAGGCTCAAATGAATGAAAATTTGTCTTGTCTTCCGAGGCTTCAGAAGGCGGAGCTAAGTGACCTATAAGCACAAATAATTAAAAGAGCACGGCAGCGACAACATCAACTTTATTGGAAATGGATAAGAAAGCATTAACCAAAATATAGAGGAGTACAGGCTGACGGAAAATAACCATCTCGGACTAGAAAGATATAACTAAGCAGCAATACTTAGGAGTCAGATTAATGGCTAATAGATAGAGTCAGGTTCACCCAACACACAAACACCAAAAAAACTAAGGATACAATAGCATGGTATTGAACGTGGATTAAAGAGCGTGAACTTTTAAGTAGGAAGACCTTGGTGCCGTCACTTCTGTATTGCTCAGGGTGTGGTTGAGGGACACCTTCCAAAAATTTTCCCGTTGGGTTTTTACAAAGGTGGTTTTTACCATGTATTTTTTAGATTTTCACATTAGGCGGCGCACAGCCATTTTAGTCTGAGTGACTTGATTCAGGATTGTTTATATGTATTCTTTAGTTACTATATTGAACTATGTACGTTATTTGTGGACGGCATTTTAAGACCTCGTAAGTTAACACTTTAGTTTATAGTTCGAGACGTACCCATTTCCGTCTCGACTTTCGTATAGTCGTGAATATAAATAGGAGAGACATTGTACTCTTGATTGTATTGGCTATAATTATGCTTGCAATGTCCTGGAAATAGATAGACCTCGCAAATGGTGAGTTCTTATGAAGTAAAAGAAAGCTTGTATCCTTAATCTGTCGAATAATTAATTATGATCGTGACAATATTTCGCATATTTTTGCCAGAAACGTCCTCTCTTGTCCAGGCTTATTACTGACCAAGATCGACCAAAATAGTTAAAGGCGGACCAAGTGAAAGTAGATTAAGAAAATTAAGAGGCCCTGCGCCTAAGAAACGACCGATGATTTCTGGCTAAAAAATAAAATCGGCGGATTTTTATCTCCCAAGTAGAGCTCACCGAATACTATTCAAAAATGATTTTTTTTTTGTTTCAGTCTCGCTTTAAACCAAAAATATCGAGCCGCAAACTTTTCCCGTCTGATAG